AATGCTCATATTTTTTTCGCCGAAAAATTTCCATTTTGCATATAAAATATCGAAGACAATATCGTCTGCGTCCTGCAATTCCAAAGCGTGAAACTATTTACTTTGTTGCTAAATTCGTGTGGCTTAACAAAAAGCATGCACGAAATTAGCATGAAAATAATGCTGCGCTCGCACAATGTATCACTCGAACACATGATTCTAAGAAGCAATAAAATGTCGTCCATTCAAAGTGTATTCTGCGTTTGTGTGTATGCGAACGAGTCTGGTCGATGAAGAAACAAAGATGCGCATAAATCAGGAAAGGGTTTGTGATTTGTGGAATGGATTTTTATTACGGTCAGACGAGTGTTCCAATTATTTGAGTATTACTCTGTGGTCAGTGGCAGTTGCAGTGTCAGTATTTTATCACACATGTGAATTTTTGTGTTTCCGTCACACGGACGAAACCCTTTCAATTTTTATTCTCCGATCGCAATATCCGAATGATTGAAATCTCGTTCGCAAAACCGAACGAAACCAAAAAATCAGGTCACACACTTGCATGTTATGGCTATTTAATATCGGTTTTGCGGTTATTTTGCGAATATTACGTGGAACGTGACGAAAGAGGAAAAGCCAAGAGCAAAGGCTACATCGGTTAATGACAGCCGTAAAGGACAATGCGAAAATGAAGGAAAACTGAAAACAAATACCTAATAAACATGCGAATTGCTTCTTTTTACTCGATAATCGATTCACAATTTTATGCGTATGCATTCGCCGAAGTTTCGGTGTATTTTTGATTTTTGACGATGTCACCACATCTAAATAACATACATGTATATACACTGGGTAAGTCTGAAGCACATACATATGCGACGCAGGAAGGAAAAACAAAAATCGAAGCATAAATAAATAAATGCATTTTTCGGAACCATTCACCAATACTAAGGAAATGACACATGGGCTAAATGCAACCGAACCATGGCGTGCTATTGCATTAATGAATCTCATGCATTAATAACATCCGAGCGAAAGAGAAACCGAGTGAAAGAGACGAAGAGAGAGAGAGAGAGACTGACTCAATGCAAGAAATCCGTAAAAGCAGAAACGTAAATAATCACATAGTGTCATGAGTGTACGAGTACGAAATTAGTTCGGTTGAATGCAAACCGAACACGAACAACGGCATTGAGCACTTTTTAATTATATGGGATCAAAAGTGCATATTTCGTAGCTGTGCTGCTGCCACTGTTGCCGTTGCCGCAATGCATTTTCATAAATAGGTGCAATTCCGAGACTGACGAATAATTGAAACAGCTTACGTCAAAAAGGATTTCAATGCTGTAGACATGTGAATGGATTGTAATTGATGCTGCTGTAGCATGCATCGCAATTATTATATATTCTCCTAATTTGTGTGGATAGCAATTTCGCATCGGTACCTTTGACATAAAAGCGCCCTTTTGGCTACAAGGGCGAAATCATCGACAGTTATAAAATTATTGGGTCTGGGAATTAATCGTGTCGATTTTTCAAAAGATGGCGTAACTTTGCATGGTTGTATCGGGCAATACTTTTTTCTTTTTCACATGAGTGGTCTAGTGTCAAACTACAAAAATCATCATCTATCATTTCATCGAAGTTTGGATAAACATTTTTTTTGCGCCTTAAATATGTCAAATTTTGTACCGAAAAAGCAACATTTCCCGCAAGCATTAATTTTTTGCTTTCATTTGATGAAAACTGCGGCTGAAGCGCATCGAATGTTGGTGGAAGCCTATGGTGAGCATGCTCCATCGGAACGTACATGTGAACGGTGGTTTTCACGGTTCAAAAGTGGTGATTTTAGCACGGAAGACAAGGAACGTCCCGGCCAGCCAAAAAAGTTTGAAGATGCGGAATTGGAGGCATTGCTCGATGAAGATTCGAGTCAAACTCAAGATGAGCTTGCCAGAGCATTGAATGTTGACCGAAGCACTGTTGGATATCGTTTAAGGGCCCTTGGTTTCATTCGCAAGTTGTCAAATTGGGTACCACATGAATTGACGCCAGCGCAAGCTGAAAGGCGTTTAGTGACTTGCGAAATGCTGCTCGCAAGGCACAAAAAAAGAGGTTTTCTGTATCGAATTGTCACTGGTGACGAAAAATGGATTCATTACGATAACCCCAAGCGCAAAGCATCGTATGTTAAGCCCGGCCAACCAGCAACATCACAGCCAAAACAAGAAATTCACGGCGACAAGGTAATGCTGTCTATTTGGTGGGATGAGGAGGGAGTGGTGTATTATGAGCTGCTGAGAAGTGGTCAAACCATCGATGGGCCTTTCTACCGACAACAATTGATACGTTTGAAACAAGCAATCAAAGAAAAACGCACGAAATGGGAGACCAGAAAAGAGACATTGATTTTTCTACATGACAATGCTCGGCCACACATTGAGAAATCGGTCAAAAACTACTTGGAAAATAGCGGATGGGAAGTTTTGGCTCACGCCCCGTATAGCCCAGACCTGGCTCCTTCCGACTACCATTTGTTTCGATCGATGCAAAACCATATGGACGGAGAGCGGTTCTCTTCAGTTGAAGAAATCCAAAATTGGCTCGATGCATTTATAGCCTCAAAAGATGAGGAATTTTTTAAGGCAGGCATCCGTCAATTGCCCACATTGTGGCAGAAGGTCATCGCTTCCGATGGACAATATTTTGATTGAAATGTAATTTCATTTTGGTATTCAAATAAATGTTTGAAAATTTAAAAAAATCGACAAAACTAATTCCCAGACCAATATATAAAACTTGTTATAATTTGGATACGACCTAGAATAATTTCGGCTGATTTCAATTTGATTTTGGTGTGTATTTTATTATTAATTGGACACAACTTAGTGCAGTTCTATTTTTAAAACACTTTGGCCAGTTATTCACGCACTATTTAATATCATAAAAAGTTCCATTTAAATGGTACGACGGAGTGATGGTTGGCCGGGGCCGAGTGGCAAAAATGAAACATTTGAAAGCAGCAACAACATAAGGTGCTCGGTAGAAAAAGGGGAGGAAAGTGTTTTGTTCCTTGTTTGCGTCATGAAGAGAGAAAAAAACAGACATATATATTTTTTTGGCTGTTCCGTGAATCAGCAGACTTCCTTTATGCTTCCAAACGACTAAAACAATCTTTTGTGTTACATACTTGTACCATATCGCTATACATAATTTGTACACAAAGCGCATAGAGAAAGAGAGAATGTGAAATATAACGTAATATGTGTGTATGTGGAAATGGTTTTTAATGTGTATCCACATATAAAGAGAGGCCCAAGAAGAAGCGAATCAAAGACATACACACGAAACAGAAGAAGAAATAAAATAAAAACAACAGCAAACTGAGTGAAGGAAAAAAGAAACGAAATGAAAGAAGAGAAAAAAAAATGAAAAAAATGCTCGAAAAAACGGCACAGAAAAGCTGAAAGATACTAAACTAATACGTGTATGCTCGTAATATTCATATATTAAATGAATAAACAACAACACAACTGTGGCCAACCAATACCAACGCAACATACCGAACCGTGGGAACGATGGCAATATCGCTTTCCACTTCCATGGCTCTTTCTCTTCTCTTCTTCGCCTTTTCGAGTTTCTTCTTTTCGGTTTTTCTACACATAGTCTTCGTCATGTTGGTTGCATATACATATTTCTCGTCGTCGGACCGAGATCTTGCACTCGTTGTTGCTGTTGCTGTTGTTGTTGGTGTTTCTTTGCCTCAACCAAAGAGAATCTACACTCGATGTGTTGTTTTTAATCGTCGCGATTGTAAGCGCGCTCACGTCTCTTCACCGATTGTCTACGCTTCATATCGCATACTATACAGCGCGTTGCACATCGAAAAATTTTTGTTTTCGGTTTGAACTGCACAGTGCACACTGATGGATTTTTCTTTGGTTCTACGTGTATGTGTATGTGTACTTGAACGAAAGAGTGTGTCTCTCGTCATTGATGCACAACCGAACAAAGAAGAAATGCGCGTATGCGACTGTGTTTATGACCATTGTTTGAGTTCTAGGGTAAAATATACTACCGCTCGGAGGAAAAAAAACCACTTCAACGCTCACACCAACACCGCATCTTCAATTCATTGAAAATTGGTTTCGATGATACTTTGCCAAACCGATCGCGCTCACATCAATGCCATTCACTCACTCACTCGCATGAAACACAAGCATTCACTTCCAGGCCAGTGATAGCTTCTCAATCGCGCTCTATGCAACTCTCACACGAAACGAAATGGTTCATTTCTTCTTCATTTGCTAGCTGCTGCTTTTTACTTCTCTTTATCTTCTCATTCCTCTGCCGCCTTCCGAGTATTTCCTTTTTCATTTTCACTGCATTATTTTCCATTTCTTTCATACTTTTTTGCGCTTCATTCTTAACAACAACAACAACAGAAAAAAAATGTGCGCATTTTTTATTCGCATGCTTCAATCAACAATTTTCTGTTATTTATGAGTTTGAAGACTTCACACATGTACTGACGATTGAATGTGAAAAATTCGATGAAAAAAAAAAAAAAAATTAGCGATGCGCACATGCTTTTTCTTCAATTTGCCATACCTTTGTTGACCTTTTCTCCGAAATTATTGACAAAAGGCCATGGGCAACCAAATCCAACAAATGACAAATCAACGACCGACTCACTATTTATGATCATCATCGTTTTCTGTGTTGGATTTCAATCTTAGTCATGCGAAAAAAACACAAATCCGAGAAATTAGTCGCTGTCTGAACATTTTCCTAAGATATCATGAATTATGGCCGAACAAATTTCGATGAATAGAAAAAAAAAACAACGAAGTAGAAGAGAAAAAAATGTTTGCTTTTAATTTTTATGGCTTTTTTGTTGGATTAGCATATATTAATTTTAGCGATGAAAGCATATTAGGTTATAGATGCGGTTCCATTGAAAATATGTGTTTTATAAAAATAAATTCGATATTTTTTTCTCTCTCTTTTCTTTCTCACAGGTTTTCAAGGCATAAATTGTGAACAAAACATAGACGATTGCCCCGGAAATCTTTGTCAAAACGGTGGACAATGTATCGATGGTGTGAACTCGTATCGTTGTAAATGCTCAGCGCATTATACGGGCGAATACTGCGAGAATGACATTGATGAGTGTTTAATGAGACCGTCGGTTTGCCAAAACGGTGCCACTTGCACGAATACACACGGCGGCTACTCGTGCATTTGTGTAAACGGATGGACCGGTACGGATTGCAGTGAAAATATTGACGACTGTGCTGGTGCAGCTTGTTTCAACGGTGCTACCTGTATTGATGCTGTTGGCACTTTTTATTGTCGCTGTATTCCGGGTAAAACGGGTCTATTGTGTCATTTGGATGATGCTTGCACATCAAATCCCTGCCATGCTGATGCCATTTGTGATACCAGTCCAGTCAATGGATCATACACGTGTTCATGTGCATCGGGCTACAAAGGAGTCAACTGTACCGAAGATATCGATGAATGTGATCAAGGATCACCGTGTGAACACAACGGTATTTGCATTAACACACCCGGTTCGTTTGCCTGTAATTGCTCTCAAGGATTTACCGGGCCACGATGCGAAACCAATGTTAATGAATGTGAAAGTCATCCATGCCAAAACGATGGTAGCTGTCTCGACGATCCAGGCACTTTTCGATGCGTTTGCATGCCAGGTAAACAAATAAAATCTCTTGATAACTTTAACTTGATAATAATCAACCAGCAAAGATTACCAACCAAAGTGGGAAAAAAAACGTCTAAAATTGCTTGAAAATTATGCAAATCTTTTCCGATCAATTTATCCATTTAATTGCCGTATTACTGTTTGCCTCAAAGTGAATCGTGTACGCTTACCATCGATTTTGTGATAAATAATTTTCTGCTGTAAATTCCTCGTAAATTCCATCCGCATCTAATTGTGATGATATTTACAAGTTTAACTAAAAAAAACTTATGTTTTTACTTTTGCTTTAGGCTTCACTGGAACTCAATGCGAAATCAACATCAACGAATGCGAGAACGACCCTTGCTTGAACGGCGGCACTTGTTTGGACATGATAAACGGATTCAAGTGTATTTGTCCAATCGGCTTTAATGGTGCGCGTTGTCAAACAAATATCGACGATTGCATGTCACAACCTTGCCGAAACATGGGCATTTGTCACGATTCAATCGCTAGCTATACCTGCGAATGTCCACCTGGTTACACCGGATTCTCCTGCGAAACAAATATCAACGATTGTCAATCATCACCATGCTACAGAGGTACATGCATTGATGGCGACAACTCATTCACATGCCAATGCAATCCAGGATACACCGGAGAATTATGCCAAACTCAGATCAACGAATGCGAATCAAGTAAGAAACACATCATATTCTGAATACAGATTTCATATGGGTTCAATTTTTAAATCGAATTTTGACTAATCTTCGAATTCTTTTTCAGATCCATGCCAATTCGAAGGACATTGCGAAGATCTCGTTGGTGGCTATCGTTGCCGTTGCAAACCAGGAACATCGGGAGAAAATTGTGAAATTAATGTGAACGAATGTCATTCGAGTGAGTGAAATTGACCTTTATTCGTAAACAACCACTTTTATATTGCAATTTTTCGTTCTTTTTTCTAAATATGTAAATTGTCATTTCTTTTTTTAGATCCTTGTCGGAATCAAGCAACCTGCATTGATGGAATCAATAGATACACGTGCAAGTGTATTCCTGGTTTCACAGGGGCTCATTGCGAAATTAATATCGATGAATGTGCATCAAGTAAGTTTTTCCTTCGCAAATTTTAATTGACGAAAATTGTATTCACGTGACAAAAAACTTAATGTTCGAATATTCTACTTTTAGGTCCATGTGCAAACAATGGTGTTTGTATGGATTTGGTGAATGGATTCAAATGTGAATGCCCAAGAGGTTATTACGATGCTCGTTGCTTGAGTGATGTCGATGAATGTGCTTCAAGTGAGTAAAGAATTTTGACGAACAAGCGCTTATAAGCCAAAATAATATCCAAAGCTATCTGCCAAATACTAATCATTCTTTCTCCTATATTTAGATCCATGTGTGAATGGCGGTCGTTGTGAAGATGGTGTCAATCAATTCATTTGTCGATGTCCTCCGGGATACGGTGGGAAGCGATGCGAAAAAGATATTGATGAGTGTGATTCAAGTAAGTTTATCTCAATTTTAAAAATGAATTCTAGCGCAAACTATATTTAAACAAAACTAATTCATCAAATTGTCTCGTAGACCCATGCCAGCACGGAGGGATCTGCATTGATGGCTTGAACTCGTACACTTGCAATTGCATGCCAGGATATACAGGTGAAAATTGCGAAACAAATATTGATGACTGTGTAGCAAATGGTGGTCCATGTAGAAACGGTGGTTCATGCATTGATTTGGTCAACGGTTACAAATGTGTGTGCAAAATTCCATTCACCGGTCGAAGTTGTGACTATAAAATGGATCCTTGCCACCCGAATCGCTGTCACAATGGCGCAAAATGCACACCAAACTCGAACTATCAAGATTTTGCATGCAGTTGTCCGCTCGGTTACACCGGACGCTTGTGCGATCAAGACATCAACGAATGTGCACTGTCTTCACCGTGTCGCAATGGAGCCACCTGCAAAAATATCCCCGGCTCATATCAATGTTTGTGTGCTGAAGGCTACGAAGGACGAGACTGTACTATTAATACCGATGATTGTGCCTCGTTCCCTTGCTCAAACGGTGGCACTTGCTTGGATGGTATCGGTGATTTTACCTGTCTATGCTTGGATGGTTTTGAAGGCAAACACTGTGAAATTGACATCGATGAATGTGCTTCGAGTGAGTAGCAATTGACAAAACCGAATATTTCAACATTTTTTCCATCATTTCACAATCATTTCATAATCATTGCTTCAAATCTTTTTTATCTAGATCCTTGCCGAAACGGGGCAACTTGTAATCAATATGTGAACTCATACACATGTCGATGTCCGCTTGGATTCTCAGGAATGAATTGCCAAACAAACGACGAAGATTGTACTGAGAGTAGTTGCATGAACAAGGGCACATGTATCGATGGCATCAATTCATACAATTGCTCATGCACAGCTGGCTACACGGGATCGAATTGTCAGTACAAAATCAACAAGTGCGATTCGGGACCGTGCCAAAACGGAGGAACGTGCACTGAACGCAACAACGATTACTCATGCCATTGTGCTTATGGATTCACTGGAAAAGATTGCACCGAATATGTGGACTGGTGTTCGCAAAATCCTTGCGAAAACGGCGCCGCTTGTTCGCAACGGGAAAACACCTACAAATGCGATTGTTTGTCGGGTTGGACGGGAAAATTGTGCGACGTCGAAATGGTTTCGTGTAAAGATGCTGCCATCCGAAAGGGTGCCAGTGTAATGGAATTGTGTAACAATGGAACTTGCGAGAACTATGGCAATTCGCATAAGTGTCACTGCCATTTGGGATATACAGGATCATACTGCCAGAAGGAGATCAACGAGTGCGAATCTCAACCGTGTCAAAACGGCGGTAGTTGCAAAGATTTAATTGGTTTCTATCAGTGTATCTGTCGTCGTGGATTCCAAGGTCTTAACTGTGAACTGAATATTGATGATTGCAAACCGAACCCATGTAGGAACGGAGGAACGTGCCATGATCTTGTCAACGGATGCAGTTGCTCGTGTCCACCGGGAACGCTTGGAATGTACTGTGAAGTGAATATCGATGATTGTGTGGCTGGTGCTTGCCACAACAACGGCACATGCATTGATAAAGTAGGCGGATACGATTGTGTTTGCCCAGCTGGATTCGTTGGATCGCGATGCGAAGGAGACATCAACGAATGCTTGTCGAATCCATGCTCCAGCGAAGGCACACTTGATTGTCTTCAATTGGTCAATAATTATCACTGCAATTGCAAACCTGGCTACATGGGACACCATTGTGAAAATAAAATCGATTTCTGTGCTACTTCACCATGCCAAAACGGCGGCTTGTGCTCAGCTCAGTCTGGCGGCTATCATTGCGAATGTCAAGAAGGCTTCTATGGGAAATTCTGTGGGAATTCCGGGCATGATTGTAATACAAACCCATGCGGTGTGGGCAGCTGTGAAGTTGTGATTGGAGGTGGTTATCGTTGTATCTGCCCAGCAGGAACCACTGGTGAAAATTGCGAGATCGACACGTTCGACGAATGCAACCCGAATCCATGCAAACAAGGTGCTGCTTGTGAAAACAAACTGGCTGACTTCTCATGCTTCTGCCCGGCCAAATGGGCTGGAAAAACGTGCAACGAATATGATCAATATTTCGCAGGCTGGTCCGGCGGTAAAAATGGACTGAACAACGGATACGGTATAGATTTGAAATCCCAGCAAGAGCAATGTGTCAAGAAAGGTTGTGCGGCTAAGAGTGGAAATCGCAAGTGCGAAGAAGAATGCAACACATATGCCTGCAATTTTGATGGTGGTGATTGTACGCTTGGTGTCAATCCATGGATCAACTGTACCACAACATCGGTCAACTGCTGGGAAGTGTTTGGAAATGGTATTTGCAATGAAGAATGTAACAACGCACACTGTTTGTTCGATGGCCGTGATTGTGACAAGAAATTGAAACCGTGTCAAGAGGCATTCGATGCATTCTGCTCTGAAAACTATGCCAACGGAGTGTGTGATCCCGTTTGTAACACGGCCGAATGTAACTGGGATGGTTTGGATTGTGAGAAAAATCGTCCACCAAAATTGGCCACGGGCATGATGTCGGTTGTGGTTTTGATGAGTGAAGCCGAATTCCGTGAAATTTCCATTCCATTCATGCGAGATATGGGCCATCGGTTGCGAACAAATGTGCGCATTAAAAAGGACAACTTAGGCAATGACATGATTTATCCATGGAATCATAGCCCAAATGATATCCAATTTATCCAATATCCAACAAAGAAGGCAATTCAAGTGTACATGGAAATTGATAACAGCCGTTGCGAGTCCATTATGGGAGGGGAATGTTTCTCAACAGCACAAGATGCGGCCAGTTTCATTGGAGCCAGTGCACGTGGGGGTATGCCAAGATATCCAATCTTCTCGGTTCGTGGGGTTAATGGTATTGATAATAATTCAGCCGAACCGACCAATGGAAAGTACGTTGCTCTTGGAGCGTTTATGATTATTATGGCATGTTTCTTGCTTGGTGTTTTGATCACAGCCAAACGTAAGAGAGCATATGGTCAAATTTGGCGGCCAGAAGGATTCTTTACAACAACAAGAAGTGGACAACGTCGCGGCCCAGATGGACAAGAAATGCGAAATCTAAACAAAAATCCATCGTTGGCTTGTATCGATGCCAGTGGAAACGGTCAAATGGGCCATTCACACCAATGGTCAGACGATGAATCACAAGTGCCAAAACGAAGCCGATACGAATACGATCACACGACATCCACCGATTATGAAGAACCAAACAGTAGATCCTGGACACACCAACATTTTGAAGCGGCAGCCATTCGTATACCATCATCGATTATGACTCCGCCTTCGCATCATGAAAAACACGATGTTGATGCACGTGGCCCATGTGGAATGACCCCGCTGATGGTTGCTGCTTCGCAAGGTGTTGGCGTTGATCTCGTCACCGAGGTGAATGAAGACGAAAGCACGGTACAAGCAATCTCAGAACTGTTGGCTCAAGGCGCTGAACTGAATGCAACCATGGATAAAACTGGCGAAACTGCACTACACTTGTCGGCTCGTTACGCTCGCGCTGATGCTGCAAAACGTTTATTGGACGCCGGATCAGATGCCAACTGCCAAGATAGCACTGGCCGAACACCATTGCATACAGCCATTGCCGCTGATGCTTTAGGTGTGTTCCAAATTCTATTGCGCAACCGGGCCACGAATCTCAACTCAAGAATGCACGACGGAACCACACCATTGATTCTGGCCGCACGTTTAGCTATCGAAGGAATGGTTGAAGACTTGATTACCGCTGATGCAGATATTAACGCAGCCGATAATAGTGGAAAAACGGCATTGCATTGGGCTGCTGCCGTGAATAACGTGGATGCCGTTAATATTCTCCTGATGCACCATGCAAACAGAGACGCACAAGACGAAAAGGATGAAACTCCACTGTTTTTGGCCGCTCGTGAAGGGTCCCTTGAAGCATGCAAAGCACTTTTGGACAACTTTGCAAACCGAGAAATTACCGATCACATGGATCGATCACCACGTGATGTTTCCTGTGAACGACAACACAACGACATCGTACGTCTATTGGATGAACACGTTCCACGCAGCCCACAAATGATGCCAATCATGCAAAATACTGTGGTTAATTCACCGCCATGCCAGTCGCAATTGGTCAGCCAACCAACCGTGATTCCAGCCAGTGGAAAACAGAACAAACCACAAAAGAAGAAACAACAGAAAGCATCCGCATCAAGCAATAACAATAACAACAATCCAAACAGTCCGGACGATGAGACAACGTTGAAACGAAAGACAACGGCCAAAAAGACTTCAACATCCACAAAGAAACAGAACGCACAACCAATTTTGCCAGATATCCAACTGTCATCCGATGGAGCGTTCAGCACCGAAGACTCTCCGGTCGCTAGTTTGCCAAGTCCATATGATACAGCCAGTCTATATTCAAATACGCTTGCTCATCACGATATGGGTGTAATGACAGCCAAACAACCTCCGAGCTACGATGACTGCATCAAGGTAGGTTTTAAACTATAAACTCATAAGTCATAACTTTTAGCCTAAAATCTCAATTCGAAAATAGAAAATTGTATCGGAAAGTTCAAACAATATTAATTCGCTATTTTTCAATTTCAGAATGCCCAGTCAATGCAATCGCTCCACAATGTCAATTTCGACAATTATGGTTACACAATGGGAGGTTCTCCATTCCACGATCTCATGAACACACAACGAAGTGTTCCAAATGTCAATAATATGGGTGAACAAGGTCTTAGTCCACCATACTCGAATCAATCGCCGCCGTATTCGGTGCAAAGCAACATTGCGCTCTCCCCACACGGCTATATTGGTGGGTGTTCAACTCATAAATTTGTCACAAACTCTTCATATATCTCTAGAAAACTTATGGATAATTTTATCTCTCTATTCTTCCGATTTAGATTCGCCATCGCCGGCAAAGAATCGCCCATGTTTGCCAACGTCTCCAACGCATATGCAAGCGATGAGACACGCAACACATCAGAAACATGCTGCACAGTTACACGTACTCAACAGTACCGGTTCATCGGTTCAATCGCCGCTCAGCAGTTCATCGTCACACTGTTCAAACAGTCCTCATAGTCAATCGCAGCTGCAGCACATGCAACAACAGCAAATGCAGTTGCAAGCCTTGCAACAACAGCAACAGCAACAGCAACAGCAACAGCAACAACAACAACAAGCTCAATCTCAATTGCAACAACAGCAAGACTTCCTACAGCAATTACAACAACAACAACAGCAGCAGCAGCAGCAGCAACAACATCAGCCACAAATGGTAAGTTATCATGAGTGTTTGTTACAATGATTTGAAGCGATTGAATCAAATTTGCATTGTTCAAATTGAATTATTTTCTGTTGAATTCACAGTTGCAGCCACAGCAAGACCAAAACCAAGCGTCCAGCACACAGCAACAAAACGATGGATCGAACAATGGTGCAATAATTGGTGATTTTGAATATGAATTGAGCATGGCTGAAATTGCTAGCTATGACAGTATTACCGGTAAATATAGAGCCCTGGTTAAACTTAGGTTTGTGCAGCCAAAAAGCAGTATTTAATGTTTATTCTATTGTAGGTCAAATGAATCATGGTTCGATGTCACAACATACGAATTCTACGCAATCATCGCCTCACTCACAACAAAACTACTATCAATATTTGACTCCGCCAAGTCAGCATTCGGGTGGAATAACGCCACAGCATCTAACGCACACGCTAGACAGTTATCCTACACCATCTCCAGAATCTCCAGGCCATTGGTCTAGCTCATCGCCGCATTCAAACTCTGATTGGTCGGAAGGCCAATTATCACCGCCGGCAAATATGAACTACATGGCCAACACTGGCGGCAGCCAGACAAACAAAGGAACTGATGCGATTTACATCTAAATCAAGCGCAAATACACACCCACAATATTATTTCCACACGGATGGAAATCATCGCAAACTAAAATTGTATATAAGATACGATGTTTTTATCAAATAACACACATTAATAGCATTAGATTCAGTTCATGGGAATTGATATACAAACGAAAATCTATCAATTTATTTTATTTAATTTTAAAATGCATATATAACTACATTTTTTTTATCGAAAATTTTTTTTTGTCGTTAACAACAACGAAACAACAGAATTTCTTACCGGCAAACGAAGAAGAATGGAAAAGACAGAGTTAGTATTATACGTTAGAGTATTTAGGTAACGAAAAATCGTTTTTAGCATAATAATAATGAAAATTTCTTTGATTTTACGAGAATAGACAATCAAAAGACAACTTAGTTATAAAACGCGTTATTGAGTGTGCTGCCATCGCACCGGTTTATTTTTTTAAACGAAAAAGAAAAGCAACAAATTGTTTGATGAAAAAAATCTTTTCCCTTTTTCTTTGTTGAACTTTCTTTTTTATACACGAGAAGAAAAATTCTAAATTTTATCATTCGACAAAAACTATTTGATTTTAACCTAAACGACAATTTGATTAGATAATATATAGGGAATAAAAGCATTGCTTTTGCACATTTTAATCATTTTTATAGAATATCGACAGATGTACTTTGCTGACAATTTGGTACACACGAAACAGAAGGAAAAACAAAACGATTTTCCGCTGTTGTTGTTGTTTTTTCAGATTTAAACATCTTTTCACAAAGACACATCTGTTTTGAATTTTGATCTTATAAACGCTGCGATTCGTGATTTACGTCAAAATGCATTATTCGGAGCTAAAATGCTCCACTAATTTTAACGAGTTTCTTTTTAATTGAATAATTTATAATTCAGTGTAAATACAGAAAAAATAGTAAAGTTCAAAGTGTAGAGAATAAAATGATAGCAATTAGTTTTAAAGTGAAGACTGTGCAAATGTGAATCGTTTCACCACCCCCACTCAATAAGAATTCTTCTAGCTACCTTCTCTTTTCAATATCCAATAGCAATGCAGTGTGCAAAAACACAATTAGTTTTTTTTCTCCCTCTTCACAGAACAAACCATATATTTTCTTTTCATACCATTGCAAAGCATTTTATTTTTAAATGACAACTAATTTTGACAGATTTTTTTTTTATTTTTCTTTCTACACATATTTTGGTGTGACACATGAAGTGTTTCTTACGTAAAATAAATACGCCCACACCTAATACGATAGAACCGAATCAAATTTCAATCCACAAACAGATAGGTATATCAATATTTGAATCGGAAACAAGCGCAAATGTTATTGAGGAAAATCTCATTTATTTTATGTGCCCGTTATCATGTATTATAATGAAAACAAAAAGCCTTTCAATTTAGATACTGCCTCTAGATTCTATGGAGTGTAATCTTAAGCATCCATTTATACTTTTATAAACATTCAATGAGCTCAACGGCTCATTTTATAATAAAAATCAATTTGAAACAAAAAAAAACAAATGTGACGTTTTCTTTTGTTTGTACGAAATCGGGGAAGTTAATTTTGCTACACTTTTCAGATGGGAATTGGAATGAATATCATGCACAACCAATTTGTGTGATATTTTCAATATGATGTCACATGGCAGGACACTCATGTGGAAGACGGGAAGACTTTCTACTATAGCGAAAAATCGGGCTTGAGATATGTTGATTTATGGTTTTTGGAACGGAAAGACTGGAACAAAGCAAAAAAAACACAAATAATATTTGGCGACAAATTGACGTTTTTTTATTCTTAGTTGACGAGCACAGAATCAAATGTTTCTATATATGAATGTACCTATAATTTCTTATACTCTTTACAGATTCGATTAGTAGCTTGACCACAAATTGTGAAATATTTGTTATAAATTCAATTATTGATAGACATTAAATTGGATAATTGAACCGTTGAACTTTTGAAGTGCAACATGAATTTTTTTTCATATGGATTTGTTGTTGTAAACTCTATATAAAAAAAAATTTATGTTGCACTTTGAAACTGGAATATTCTGAGGGAATTTGTTTGTCGCAATGGTTCAATTCGGTAATAATTTTGAATGTGACTCATAGAGCAGATTTTGACTCATAGGTACCTTAGAAAAGTACAGAAAAGTACCTTAATTCTGTTTAGATGCACAATGCTACAATCACCAGATGGGTTCTTTGTGACCATTTCTGAGATGGTCTTACATTTAAAAGCCTCTCTGAACTACTCCAAATTTGAAACAGCACCATTTCCACGGAATTTTCCCAGAGAATGTTCATCACTCCAATTTTTCTATTCATCTGGAGATACCGATTCACACTTAGTTTAAGAATCAATGAAAAACAATGGCTAAATATAATATCAGATAAATACACTTCACAATTGAAAGCACGTACATTTCCATATCCAATGAAAAATAACTGCTCGTGAGTGAATTGCTAAAGGGCCGGAAATATTTGGTCCTCATTGTATTCTACCATAAACATTTTGTATGACTTGTAGGCTAATAACAAACCCAGGTTATCTGCAATGTTTTCTTCCAATGTCTTCTGGCCATCGAGTCTACGATTAACCTAAATAAAATCATTGAAATAAAATCCGCACAATATAAATGTCAAAATTGCAATGTCCAATGAAGCAGTATGTAAGCTTTATGTATTCATCTCTCGTTTCGTTGGTCCACTGATCATTCTATTCCCCGTTTTTGTCATACTATCGTCCTGTTTACGGAATAGAACAAAATCAATTTCGTTTCGTCATGTCGATTGAAAGATTATTTAGTTCTACCTTTAATACCAATTGCATATGAAAACTCATGTCCAAGAGTTGATGTGCCAAACCCATAATTCAATGCTCTGTTTGAAAATGAATGAATTTCAAATTCCAACACATGTATCAACAAATTAACATTTGAAACGAACTGCAGTGCGTACTTACTCTATGCCCAAACCGTAGAATGGAAACTGAAGAATTCCCATAGCAATAACTGAAAATGAAGTTGATTAAAATAAAAAAAGAGAAAACCCTTGATTGTATATGTAAAGGACAATATTACTAACGTGTTTTGAATCATCAACTTCCGTCGTCACATTTAATTCTAAAAATACGACAACGTCCCGTACTGCTTTTTTCAAAATTCGGTGCTGATTTTGTCTTCATGCCAATAGAATCAAAAATAAATATCAATTCATAATAGTTATAATAAAATGTTTCTGTTGAAATATGCAAAGTTGTAATCAAATCGAATTCGCATTCATCTTGTTTTCCATGAATGTACGGAAAGCAAAATTCTTCGAGCGAATTTTTGATGAGTTTTATTGCAATTTCCGTTTGACTACCTAATAATCATATGAAACAATAAACATATTTTACTTTACATTCGTAATCGCAGTACTCAAAAAATTACCAGGAGGAATACGCATCCATACATGATTCGACTCTGAACAATGACTTTTGACTCATTTGCTTCCGGTTTTGATTTGAAAAAACGCCTAATGGCGTGTTCAACTCGTACTGCTACTATTTCAACCCAACTCCAGGGGGGATCGGATCCACTCTACAATTAACATCAAATGATATGAAATGCTGCTGTGTCTATTAGACACTGTCTAATATCATTTTCTAAACGAAAACAAAAATACCGAACATGATGATTAGCCAAGGTTGCCACAAGTAAATTGATAGAAATCCTCACATGGGTCGGCTTGTAAGTCCACACTCTCTAACATACTCTCCAACAGCATTTCGGACACAATCAGCAGAAGTACGCAGGTGTTCATATGTTCAATTGTTTTATTCTGTACATTTTGAGCTGAAGTTAATCTCAAATACAAGAAAGTACTCAGAAGAAACATCAGCAAAATCAGAAATATAACAGAATGACACTGCTTCCGTCTGAAATATTGTTGAAGTTTTATGAAGCTCTTAAAAAGTATGAGAAACACAAATAAATTATCATCTAGATGCACATTTTTCAATCAAATTTTCAATGTCAAAATTATCACATATCCTGTAATGGGAGTGGCTGATTTTTATCAGACTTTAGAAAGAAATTAAGCGGAAGCTTTTTTTAGAGCTGAACTGTTTTCTTCTTCTAGTCAATATTTTGATTTAAAATCATACGATTTTAATTCCATCTGTCGGTTTTATTCTATTGCAACTTATATCGGTGATATTACAGCTACTAAGTGCGTGTTGTGCATTTTTTGCATTTAAATGTAACTTTTATTAAAATTGTTTACTTAGGTACACACGATTATAATCAAGAAAGTAGACTCTCTGCAGCGCCGTCCATTAGTGACGGCGAAATCGCCTGTAAATAGCTGGAAGTGATTTCGACAAATTGCGAAATACTGCATAATAACACCGATTAGTACTGAATTTTGTCATTATAAATCGACGGCGCTGCAGAATGTCTTGACACAAATTTTCTATGAGATTATAAGCGTGTGCTTAGGTACACTTACGAAGATATCTTCATATTGTGTGCGCTGTGGGTAGAAATATATGTGTTTGCGAAAATCGCAAACGAACCAAGAGAAAAACAATGTCCATTTGCCTCGTACGTTCAAACGCGCGCACAGATATCATCTCTTTTCTTCTTCTTTGTTTTGATCTAAGATATGAACAGAGTAACGAAGGAGGATTGAAACATATCGGTATCCAGTGTGCAGTGTGCGTACGCACATAATCTCATTATTACTAGCATTACATCGAACGCATGGTGGTATATTATTGTTTTGTTCCAGTGAATTGCATCCAATCATTACGATAAAGTTTGTTTTGACTGGTTGTTCGCTCCAGATCTAATACTTTGTGTCTTTGTCAATCCGATCGTTTTTTTCAACTACTTTTTAGTTGCATTCACTTCCTAATATCAATCATTTCATCAGCCAATTTCATCAATGCCCAATATCGTAATTGTTTGATTTGAATATGAAATCTTTATTATTTGGTTCTGTTTTTCTTTTCATTTTTGTTGTACATATATTCACAATGCAAAAATATAGTATTTTTTTCAGCCTCATAAAAAGGGATATGAGAAGAAGATGAAGAGAAGAAAAAATAAACTAATTTGGTCACATCTGGAAAAGATTAGTTGAAAAACATTCAAAGGGACTATGGTAAATATTCATAAACCATTCGTAAAATCTATCGATATATTGATGCACACCATCGGAATCTTTTTTTGCTTATGTGTAGGATGTGCATATCAATGTATGTCATATCTCTATGACTTGCATTTTGTGAAATAATTTAACAACATTGATGCAAAATCCGAGAAAACGGATAGCAAATTACCATTTTTAAAAGGATGAAGCATCCTTAGACCAATGTACACATATGTTTTCCAAAGAAACAATTTACTGCGTTGCATGACAATAAAACGAGCGCCCGATTTTATTACATAATGCATTGACTCTTGGTAATAACGCAAGTGAAGGAAAGTAGTACACCACACTATGACCGACTACTTGTATATGTATCGCTTTACGCAAACGCGTGAGACTCAACACATACACTGACATATGCACGAGTTACGTAGGCTTTTGTAAATACGTCGCTTAAATATTTCGAAGGAATTTTTCTCCGTACGCTCACCAATACAATCCAAACCTAGCATTGCATACTGGAAATTCATTTCAGAAACTCAGATTTAGACAGAATGTGTAGAAGAATCTGTGGAGTTGTTGGATTTTGTATTAATCGAGTATCTAAAATCGTATTAATTCGCCTTCTTACAAGTGAATACATTTTTCGTTTTCAAAAATTGAAATTTTTTAAACATTTAATATTCCTTAGTAATTTCGTGTAAAAAAATGAGAATAAAAAAGACCTTTTGGTACGAGGATAAAAAAAGTGATGTAGGCTTCCGTAGATATAAGTAAGTATGAATACGTTTAAAGCAGAGCATAAAATAAGACAAATTGAGAACTGCCCAGAAATTTCTTTCGAGGAAAATATTGTAGTCATGAAATATGACTGCACGTATTGAATATCAGATGAAAAACCTCTGAACAATGTTAAGGTGGAGAAATAATGCTATCAATCATTTCTAAATTCGTTCGATTTATTTCCGAGCATTAATGCAACGGAGGGTTGATTTTTGTCATTTTTGCACGTAAATTGAAAAATAAATTTTTTCATTTTAATCGATAAGAATGTTGGAAATGATCTTAGTTTATGTCGTTATAATTGTTATAATGCGACAAATTTTTGAAAGAGGTGTTTTTAAACTCCTCAAAACCAAATTTAGAACTGCCCAAAAGGGCAAGAATACCGCTCATTTTACGCTCTGGTTTAAAATAACATGAATCATCGAACATTTTTTTTTGCCACAAACAGCTTCAAAAGAATGTCAAGGATCAGGAAAACTACCAGACCTGTTCAGAATCAAGTTGCATCAAATTCGACGCAGCCAAAAAATTTACGCTTATGGGTGACCTTCTTCGATGAGCTCTGTAAAGAAGTAAAATATCGAACAATCTTT